ACTACTACTACGACTACTACTACAACAACAACAACTACTACTACGACTACTACTACGACGACGACTACTACTACTACTACTACTACTACTACTACTCTACTGTACCACTACTGACCCACTACTGCAGTATAAATGTTTTCCATCTATCTCCCTCTACGGCCCGGAGACGCGCTATCCCCACACCTCTCCAAAGACCCTGTACAGCCCCTCGACCCGCACCCCAACATCCCTCAAGAAAGCCTGCCTCCCGGTACAGCTTCGTAAAAGGCATCGGAAAATGTCGCAACGTGTCCATGACAGTTTGACACGCAACATGATCACGTCCGCTTGCCCCACGCCATTTGCAAGGCAAACGTACTTCAGTTCTATAACCGTGCTACTCCAAACAAGTCCCGCTTGTCCATGTCGCCTCGCTCCAAGGGCTGCAGGTAGACCGTCGACACCATGGCAACGCTTGCAGCAATGATCAGTGCCTCAGTCACATCCGTCACTCGACCACGCTGAAAGACGTCATGCCGACTCTGTCAACGAAATGTTGATCGGTGTCTGCTCAACTTCGACGCCTTCAAGTTAATTCTTCACAGTGCACGTGCACCAAATCTCACGACATCTTAGGTCTACATCATGCAAAACGAAAAAGCCGTCTCATCGGCGAGTTCCCCGAATCTCTGGCCAAGTGGCCGTGATTGGGATGGCTGGCCATGCTGGATTCCACACCTTTGGCTTCGATTGTGACAGCGGACGAGTTGGCACCTCACCAAAACGACTGACTCTCTGAGTTGCAGTCCCCGGCTGCACTGCACAAAGCGAAGTCCCTGTCGACCAGTGGCACGGAATTTAGGACAGTCCGCAGTCTTCTAGAACGCAGGAATCCTTTGCAAACCTTGTAAAAGGATGCAATAGATGATGAGTGCCTAGACTTCGCACTTGGTGTTCCCCAACTTGAACGTGGACTGAGAGTTGAAACGAGCGAGCCCGCACCCGAACAAAGAGAACCAGTCTTCCCAGCTTCTAGCTGTCCAGCTTGCGCGGTCCTTCAGTTATCGGGCTCCGACAAAGACGACATGAATTTCAAGCAGGATTCGTGTTGTCAAACATTCAAATCTCGAGTCCAAAGACCCATGCCACGACAGCAGGTCAACATCCGAGCAAGCTTCTGCCGCTCAAGCTCCCTGGAAAGCAAAACGACTCCTGACAGCGTGTATCCACCAATTTCGGAGGCGAGTGCCAAAAGACACGTGCACAGCTCTTAGCAGCTCTGCGCAGAAATCGAGCCTGGCATTCTCGGCTGGACTGCAGATGTCGATGTGCCCGTTGGCCCTTCGGAAATCTCTCTAAAAGGATGCCGGAAAACTACATCATCTGACGGTTGTGAACTACGTAAAAAACTGTTTCATCCAGCTTCCACATTTCGGGTTGGCTTGTCGTTTCAGCACGATATTAATCTAGAAGATATCGCCACGAATGTGAATTGCACCTGTGTCAGATCTGACTGCCAACCTGTTCGAAAGTGTTTTCCATCGGTTGTACCGTCACGCGGCCCAAGAGGGGACACCCACTGTGCGAATTGACAAGTTGTGTACGTACCACGTTTCGGTTTCTCTGAGATTCTTAGAAGCAGCCCCTTGCTCACGATGTAACATGCAGTTAGTTGCTGTTACCTCCGGCAAATGGGCACTACTTCCATTCGTCACTGCAAGCCGCGAGCCGCAAGCAAGCAGTTCTGTGAAGCGAAGCCATAAGGACATTAAGGACCGAGCATCCAGTAGAGAAGCAGGCTTCCCATGGCCACAAAATGGCATGGCCTGGGGACAAGACTTGCACGTGCTTGTCAAGTGTTGCTTGGAGCATGTAGCTGGCGGTGCTGTGGCAAGCGCGGAAGAGAATCACTGTCCGATCCAAGCCGTTGCAAGCAGTATGCACTACACTGCTACACACTCACCTGATTCGTGACTGGTACATGCCACACACCCGTGTGCACACCCAGTTCAACACCGTGCAACGAGGCGAAGACGGAATCATGTGGATGAACACCAGCGTGCCTGCCATCCTGTATCGACAAAGACTTGTTGCAACACTAGAGTTCTCATTTTCATGTCTCAAGTCTCAAGCATCAGTTGGCAAGACCTCGCAACAGAGAGTGCAAACGAGGCCGACCACCTTGGCCGTTCTGTTGGGTCTGCAGCTGCTTGCGATCCATGTCTATGTCAGACCCACTCACCACTGACGGCACTGCATGACGGTCACTGCAACAACGCATGATGCCGTGCACGTGACAATGCTGTGGGAAGCTGTCGCAGAGCGTCCCAGACAGCCAAAACCTGGGCTGCTCGTAGGACAGGCCCATGCCACTCAACATGCTCCGATGACTTGTGACTCTCGCCAAGATGAGCATGAGCTGCGGCTTCAGATAGGGCACTTCCATTAATCCCATATTCGTAGCCTCTCTCTCTCTCTCTCACACCAAAACGACGGAAGAAGCGACACGAGCATGGAGGCAGCATCTCAAATCCTACGTCATTGCAAGCTCCCACCTACCGGAGCATCAGCCTGTGTACTCCTGCCAATCGAACATCTATGAGGACACGAAGTCTTTAGCTCCCAAGTCGTCGAGCATTTGCGGATGGCTGGCGGTCAAGACTGTTTGTTTGTGCAGCACGACTTCTTCTCGCTGGGCTTTTGGCATGCCAAGCAGCAAAATCGTGTCGTATGTCTTTTTGCTGTGCTGCAAGGCACATCGAGGAATAACACGACGGCCCGGCAACATTTGTTGTTTGTCGGGTGTGCCCAGCAAGCTGTGAACGTCGCCCATCGTCGTCTGCAGCACTCGGTGCGTGATGTGCGCGGCATAACAGCACTTGCAATCTAAATAGAATCCCAAATGTTTGGAGCTCTGGAGGCCTTCTCGTTCTTGTCAGTCCCTAGCTGCTTAGCTAATCATGGATTGGGCAGGCCGGGGCTGAAGTTGACTGGAGCGACGCGAGAAGCTGCGAGCGGTGCTCGAAGAGAGAAACTGGACCGAAGTTACCAAGAAAATTGCAGAGATTCGAGCCGGACCCACCTCATATGCTCACTCACAAAGAAACCACCACAACAACTCAAAATATCCACTTGCTTAAACCCACAAAGCCGCTCACGAACTTCTGGCAAATTCACTGAAGCATCCCCCAGTTTGGATCTCTACACGATGCAAAGCTTACACTGCTAGCGCCAAACTTGGCATGCTCGTTGACGGGCGTATGGGCACAGCACTTCACAAGTGAAGTGGACATAAGAATCGTGTTCTTCGAAGCCAAGCCTCAGGTTAGGTTGCAATCGGGGGGCGAAGAAGGAGAGCTCAGCAACGCCCTGAGCATGTCTCTTGGCTTGAAACCACCTTGGTGGTATGGCGATTGCGTAATCGCCGTGGATTAGCGTGCCATACACACACGAAGCAATGCTGGTGCAAGGCTGAGCACTGAAACAATGACGGTGCATTTGCTGCGAGAGGCTCTCAGACCCCAGCCTGTCTATCCAAGTCTGCCAGACACCCTTGTCTGAAACGACAGATGTGGACTTCACCTGAGTGACTGTGACTCTGCCGCTTTCAGCGTCTGGCATCGGCCCTGAGTCGGCGACAGGCAGGAAGATTGGTCGAAGGTGTGCCCTAGCCAGGCCTGACGCCCGACACTCCGGGGCCGCAACAGCTCACAAGCACCACAGCCGCCTCGCCATGCTGGAATTTCCTGGCCTCCCTGAGCGAGCCTTGCAAGGTAGTAGACAATGGAATGCAGAGCGACAGACTATCGTTGCTACACTCCTTCATTAAGACGATCTGGCTCAGCACGCCACGCAGCTTCCTTCACAGCGCTGTAAAAGAAGCAGCGAATGTAGCAGTGGTGGTCCTGGGGACACGAACAAGCAGATAAACAGAAACAGCACGCAGGCTCTGCTCAATTCCTGCACATTGAGTAAACCAATCACTCTTTGCATTGAAAGATCCCATCCGGTCCAAAGGAACTTCCCTGCAAAGCCGTGGTCCGAGGAACATGCTGAGACTGTCTGTCTAGGAGGGTTCGTGCCTCAACCGACATCTTTGAAAGGCAACGGTCTCATGTGGTGGACAACTGCTTTGTGACCGTGTCTTCCTGCGTCCTTGTGTGTGCATGCTTACGGTTTTATATGGTTTTGGCTTCGAGACATGCAGGCGCTCGCTCTCGCTCTTTCTCTCGCTCTTTTTTTTTTCTCTCTCTCTCTCTTTCTTTCGCCAGGGTTAGGGGCAAGAGGATTGCTCCCCTTACCCGCGCGCTAGTGCGCCCCC